AATAAACATTTATTTATTATTATTTATTTATTTATGCCCTGCTGATCTTAGTGTTTCGATCTTTATTACAATAAACAAGTGGATTAAATTCACAAAAAAAATTAATATCACGATTTAAATTAACATTCTTGCACTAGCGTCCCAGTACATTTATGATAATGTACCTATTAAGAATCATGCGATTGTGGAATTTTTTGCAGGTCATGGTGATTTTGTTAATAGCTCTCACCCGCTTTAATGCTGGAATTAATTGGGTCGAAATCTGACTATACAAGATGATTTGTAGAATTATGATGAAGTCATTAAACCCCATCAAGTGAACAATAGACGAGCCAAACCTCCTTCAAGGAGAGGTGTGCCTAGATGAGTCCCTATATAGAGTTGTAAAGATAATACATACTTGTAATAAACAAGTAGTTTTACCCTTCCTTTTTTTTAACCCATTCTCCACTTACCCATATCTAACAACACATAAGCCGCATTCTAAGCCCGACCCCACCGTAAGGTATAGGGCTCGTACATACCTACAATAAGTGAAGTGTACTCTAGAAGTGAAAGTTTTTTCGAGCATGAAGGTTTTTTTCGAAGATTTCCAATACTGTCGCTATCTTTGCTGGTCAATTTTTTTTTTCATTATACCAAGTGACGGAACCGACACCTGTAGATTTTTTTAAATTTGAGTAACTTTTTGTACTATTTATTATTTATTACCTCTAACCTTATTGACTTACAATTATATGGACGTCGGGTCCGCCCTAAAAAGTGTCCGCACTTGTAAGGCGCTAAAATCGTATACAGAGCGCGACACTCCGCTTTAGTCTTCATTTGTTCTACTGACAGCGCGATACTGCAATGACATTACAATTTAAATTTGGAATAGGTTGACTTGGGACATTTTTTTCGTGGTTTTTGCATTAGACCCGTCGTCCATTTATTTGTAAGTCAATGTCTAACCTACATAGTATTTAATTTATTTTTGTAAGTTTACTAACACCATTAGACCTTAAAAAATGTAGTTGTCTGATTAAATAATTATATTATTATTATTATAACAGTTGAAGTTGTGCCACTCAGAACTGCCACTGCGCCTGTCGCGTTCAGACTTAAGTTATAAAGTTCCATGACTGTGCCTGCAATTTCACCATCACCCACCCTTTAAAACCGAAGCGCAACAATACTTACATTACTGCTTGGCGGCAGAAATAGGTAAGGCGGCAGTACTTCCCTGGACGAACTCTTTCACGAGGAGCTGTACTGCTACTGAAAATAGTATTGCCACATAACACGCCACCAATATTTCAATGTTATTGATCCGGTTAGTATGTGATCGACAACGAATCTATCGATAATAAAAATTCATGACAACACTAATTTACGGTTGAATAGTTTTCTCACAACTGAAGTGTATAACTAACCTGAACTACATTCTTACAGTACAACTATTTTGTTAATACCGATCTTTTTATTTTGATTATCGTCGGATTTCTATCACCTGCCCTCTGCACTTAGCGCAGAACAAACGCACTCAATCGACTTGAATTATAGTGACGGTTCGTAGTATTGGCACTGGATGAGGAGGTCTCGGGTTCGATTCTCGACAGGATCAATTTGGGATATGAATTTTTCTAAATTGATTCTGTGCTCAGGGAAGTGCCTCAAAGTGAATTCCGTTGTTCTGGTACTCATAGTACAGCCTCCTCAATTCTACTCCACACCATGTATCTGGTCATGAACCTGACTTGAACTGTCTCCTTGGAGAGAAAGGCAATAGCGCCTAAATTTTTAAATAGTTTAAAATGCATAAATAATACTTGCTTTTAGTTTTTTAACAGGCATTTTTTGCAAGTCAAGCGTGCATAAAACCTAGCTCTATTATTGAACAAATTAGACCCATTATGTGGGTCCCGCCCCACTTAGCGTGGGATAAGGAAGAAGAAGACCCATTATTTTCCTGAAACACTGGGACTTATTCCATTGTTAGAGACCACGCAATCGTCGTGGTCAGAGATGGGCAAGTGCCCCGGCTTTAACCCGGCGCTTTGTTTAAGGTTTAAATCGGGTTGAAAAATCGCTCAAAATCGAGGGCAAAAACTATTTACAACCAAACATTTGTTGTAAGTCGAGTTTTGTTCAAATTTAACGATATTAATATTACAAAATATTTACTGCTTCCTGATCTAGACGATTCGATTTGCCTTTCTATTACGATTCGTTTGAAAATCTCCCTGAAATAAATCGATACAAAAAATATTTAGATCATACGCACTTGAATCGATCTTCATAAAAACCGAATCATAATGTGCAGGATGCACATAATGAGAATCCATAGAATTGCAAAGTGAGAATTCCCTGGACGCCAAGCCTATATAGTGACATTATATGAATTTCCATCCAATATTAATTCTATTCTGCTAAGTCAAAGAAGAACATAACTGAACATAAAATGCAATTATGCATCCATACTTCACTAGAATATACATATAACACATATATCTTAATACTTATTTATTAATTTCAATTGAAAATTAAAGGGTTTGATTGACGCTTTAAAGCGTCCGTCACGAAGTACATTCGGCAACTGACTAACAAAGGCAAAGAAGACGGGACAATCTGGGCCAAAATGTAACATAACATTTTATTTTCATTGGAATTACACGTACGTGAACCGAAACTATTTCAATAAAATTTATTGAAATCGGTTAAAGTGGGCGAAATTTCAATAAACCATATTCATCCCCAAATTTGTCACTCTTAGAGGTGGAATATTTTTTTCACATCTAAATGGGATCACTACCGAGGTAGCCCTTTCCAACAAAAAAGGATCATCGATATCGGTTTACAAATATTGAAATGATCGCGTAACGAACATAAAAAAACAGACGAATTGAGAACCTCCTCCTTTTTGAAGTCGGTTAAAAAGTGATCATCGTGAAGGACAACGTCAAGTCACACTTTACAGTTCATTGCAGAAATACACTGCGGAGAGTGAATGCAAGAATTTTCCAATTTAGTTCCACACTCATCATTCCCCTTCGGTCTACGAGACGGTCCGGAACATTCAATCTTTATGTCATTGATTTACCCATTCGAACAAAGCTTTTTGGTTTCATCCTTCTTTTTTATTTATTTGAGTCAACAAACAGTAGACACAAGAAAAATTTAAAACTATTTTTTTACAGTAAAATGTGATGATTGCGTCACCAACACCATTAAGCACTAATTACTGCAACAAAACAGTGAAGTAAAGAATAAACAACAACCATGACACGCTGAGAATGACAGCGGCGCAATGCAACATTTTTGATAAAGTTCTGAAAATTGTGATAATTGCAATTTCTTACACAGCGAAGATCTTTTAATGCGGTTTTCAGCTAAAATAAAAGGGAACCTATATAGTTTTAGAAGTATTATACAAATGTTCACCTACTATAGTAAAATAAAAGTATTTTTGAGAATTTCGTTTAGTATCACTATTCCTTATAATCTTTTCAAGTAAATTAACATTTTTTATTATGCAATCTCGTCACTAAGAATTAATGAAAACAAATTATGGCATGAAATTTATTTTATTTGATTGATTTCAGTTTGAATTAAAATAAAAGAAATGTTACGAAGGCCAATGAGGAGGTGTTAAGAATAGTGAATAACAGGAGAAGCTTATTAAAGACAATAAGAGAACCGAAGGGGAAAATGTTTAGTCATCTGATGCGTCACGAGTTTTCTTAGAAACATTATAGAAGGGAAGATCGAAGGAAGAGAGGCAAAGGAAGACCGAGACGAAGACGAAGAAATTTGGACCATATAAATAAAAAAGCTAATGTCGTGTCGTATCAGGAAATCCAGGCTAAAGCGCTAAACAGATATGATTGGCGATTGCTCCACCGACAAGAGCCTGGCTCTTAAATAAGAAGAAGAAGAATTCAGTTTTATACCAAGTTCGGTGGGTTATGACAGGCAGGAATTAAATCCGCTAAGTAGCAATTTAAAAAAAGTCGTAAGTCAGCAAATTCTCACTTATGACGAATTAAATTAAGTGGTTATACAGATTGAGGACATTTGAAACTCAATGCCGCTTCTATCCTTCCCAACAGTTGTCCCAAGTAACATGTCATACCTAACACCAGGTAATTTTTTGACTAACACCTCTCTGTCAACTTTCCCAAAACTTGATGTTACAGAAATACCTATATATAAATAAGCTATGTTATTGGAGACAATACACACAAATTCTTCAATGTTTCTGAAAAATGTGGTCAAAACAATACTTAGTTCAACTTCAAAACAGACCAAAATGGCACAAAGATGTTCCAAAGATTAGGAAAGATACCTTAGTATTGTTAAGGGTTGACAATACTCCACCTCTGATATGGCCTACCCCTCGGGTTGTGGATACCTTTCCATGGAATTATGGTAAGTTAAAACTAGCAAAGGTACAATTATTCGCACTAGTGTAACTAAAGTATGTGTGTTACCTCGGCCATTCTCACATTCGCTGTTCTCAGCCTAATTACCATAGCCATTTTGGTGTTCTCAGCCTAATTACCGTAGCCATTACTTTTCCTCGCTTACTATATCCAATTAAAATGAAATATGGATAACTTTAAGCTAAACTATCAACATGTCTAAATGGCATTGGAATAAACTAAGTAGTTTTCGAGCAATTAAGACGCAAATATTTTATGGTATACGAGTAAATTTAGAACTGCACATTTTATGTTTATAGTAGTTACTATTACAATTTAACTACTCTAAATATAAAATAAATCTCGAGTGTTTATTGATAACGAAATATAGTGGAGTATAATTTGTATTTGCCCAGTTCGTGTTAACTCTTTATATTATAATGTGATATCAAAACAACGTATTTTATTTCATTATTATTAATACCAAGTCCATTTTCATAAAAATTCTTTACTCAGTTTCATAAGATAACATAAACCCCAGAGAAATAAACATTTTTAGATCTTCTTTTCATATTATGGGTGTTATAATACAAGTTTATTTAGTTTCCGTTTTAAGTACTACAGGCTGTTAAACTATTGAGTAAATTAATGCAAAACCAAAGTAAAGGAAACTTCATCTAGAAAGTACGGAACAAGAAGTAAACGCCATTATCAAGAATTTGCTACTTTCTCTTGAAAGTCCCAAATTTACTTCATAATCAACTTTCACAATAATTCTTTTCATTGTGTCATATTTTTCGCAATAGTTCTTGTCATCGTATGCCTTTGTTTCGGCATAACATACAATATAAAATTCAATGTAGATACACCTTTATCGTACCAAAGTTTACATTGAATAGCTAGAGATATACCATACGTAAAGTCCACTATCTGAATGGCTATCATTGGCAAAGTAGCGTTCATACGTACAGGAAACAATTTAGAGTCAAACCCTGGAGGATCAGGATAGTACTGAATATTCCCAATATGTTCTTTATCATAAGAATGGTATCCAGAACAATGAAGCCAGTATTTCTTGCTATCAACTTGCATCCATTTCTGAACCTCATCAGGCGCATTACCTGCTTGTGGCGAAGTAGATTCCAAAGGTGATTCAGCCCACTTATATTGTTTATTTATTTTGATAATAACACAGGGTTTATCTCCATAGCCATAAGGAGATTTGGCACAAGGACCCAAATTACCTGCTACGTCTCTTTCTGTACGATGATTAGCAAACATTGCATCTAGAGCGCGGATATATTTCTCATAATCATTATTCACACCTTCCCTGTACCAGATGAGAGGGTAGTCATTTAGATTGGTGGGTGTTCCGGTCAAACCAACTCCAGTTTCAGGGTACGTGAAGAGTTCAAATAGAGCAATGTTTGTTTGACTGGTGTCACCTAGTCTGGTCTTGATGATGAGGATCGAGCAGTACAGGAAAATCATAGTGTAAGTACTGAGAAAGATAAGATATATGATGGCGTATATTATAATGAGTATCCAACTTTTACCAGTCCTACCACAATAGGTTCCAGCTTGGCTGTCATGAGCATAACGAATGCATTTAACCCAAAAGGGTTCCTTGGGTGGATCTATCGCTAAATCAACGACTTGTGGTTTATTTTTAGACGTTGTGGGCCCGGTAAATTCACCAAATTTCTCCATTGTGCAGGTTTTTCTTCAATATTGTCTGCCGTTAAATAAGTTCGACTTTATGAAATAACATCGAAATGTCACCTTTTACATAATAAATGACTTGTACAATGAAGTGACACTGACAATGTTTAAAAGACAATAAATCAATAAGGCTAGGGTGTTAGAATAACTCTTTTACTGAAAACTTTGTCAGACATGGATCTTCTTTTTCACTTGAAGCAAGAGAAAGATCATGCAGATGGATACACAGCTATTTCAATTCGTTTGTTTTTTTTATGTTACAAGTTTACTCCGACATTTAGTTTTGTGAACCGATTTCGGTGGTTCTTTTTTTGTTGGAAAGGGGGTAACCTCAGTTGTCTAAAAAGCCAACTTTACAAGGAAACGCGAAAGTCACATTACGCTTAATATTATTTACCTATAAATAATACGCGATTTACCTTTTTTTATATTTGTTTTGTTTTTTCAAACAAACCAACGTTTCGTAAACTCACCACCCAATTTTTCATTATAATTACAAAAGTTATTAATTAAATACCTTAAAAATAATTTTTCAAAGAACATTCCAATTTACACTACGTAGGGTTCACAAAATATATTTTTTTTAATTTTTATTGAATTGATATTCAATTATTTTTTGTAAAATTACTCCACAAGTTTGTTAGAATTATTAATACAAAAATCGAACACTCAAAAAAAATTCCTTTGATCCGGCCGGATTCGAACCGACGTCTCCTAGCTTACCGTGGCAGACCAACTAAGCCACGGAACGAACCAGCGAACCTCACGAATTTTTCTATGTGCTTGCTTGTTTTTTTCTATGTGTTGCTTGTCGTGTCTTTGTATTTGGTTTTTTCAACGACTTTTTAGTCGTAGCGCAATCTATGAGAAATGTACGAAAGATTTATCACCCAGTTAGTACCTTTACAGTTACCAGTCCTGGCGAGAGATGTCGCTATTCGCTGTATTTTTTTTAATTTGTATTGAATTGATATTCAATTATTTTTTGTGAAATTACTCCACTAGTTTGTTATAATTATTAATACAAAGATCGAACACTCAGAAAAAATTCCTTCGATCCGGCCGGATTCAATCCAAACAAACGAAACGAACGAAACATATATATTTTTTAATTTTTAATAAATCAAATTTCATTGTTAATTAAAAATGGAATTTAGGATAAATTGAAACATAATAAATAATTATTTTTGGCTTAACCGTGCACCATCTCGGTCAATAAATTAAAAGTTTAAAACGAAACAAATAAAAAAAAACAATAACATTAAAGAAAAATACAAAAAAAAAATATTTATAATTACGCTAACGTGACTCATTTGTAATATTAACTAAATTCTTGCTATTTAAAATGCAAGTAAAATAACAAGAAGGAAAAACAAAAATGCGGGTAGGTATCAATCGCATCTGCTGATTCTAGATTCACAATATTCACAGTGCACCAATAAGTCACACATTCCAGAGGTAGACAATTTTTTTTGGAGCGTAACACACGGAAGTATTTACGCTTTGAGTCATTTTGAAAAATAATGTTTTAGTTTATGTTTAATAATGTTGTGTTAATTAATTCAGTTTTGAGTTGTACTGGTAGTTCATTTATTAATTTAGATACTTGATATTGTAGTAATTGTTTTCTACATAAATTTTTATATTTTGGTATTTTTAATGTCGTTTTTGACGCACTTCGTGTGTTTAGTTTTGGTATAAAGATATTTTGTAAACTTAGATTGTGTTCACGCCGATACTAAGGTAGACGGCGCTTAGGTGTACCTAACCTCACCCCTACCTACACAACCTACCCTCATTTCCCTTTAACATTTATACCGCTATCCTTTTTACTCTGCTGCAACTGGACTACCGTTCGTGTTTAGAACAGTCTGCAACTAACCGTCCTGGGTATCGTGCGTCCGCCTTGGACCAGCCATCGACCCTCGCTTAGCTCTGTGGATTCACCGCCATATTGAACTAACGTACTTTTCGTTTTTTCACCTATTTCTTATTTCGCCGTATGTGAAATACCGCTGTGTTTTGTACTCTTTATGTGTGTTATTGTACTGTGCGTTAACGGTTATAAAGCAAGTGAATGTAACTGGTAGTCACCTCTGACCGCCACCGCACCAACGGAACCGCCACGAGTGCTACCGCATTTGTCGGAAACATTTAGACGCCTGCTGGAAGTAAAGGAAGAGCCACCACGAAATCCACCTCTAAGGTCAGTGTAGCATAGTTCAGTTGCACAGCACTCCCTTTACCTAACGATTCGTCCCTTTCCAGACATTCCTTGTCCATATAGTCCATTTCTACCACTCTTCTTAAACGAACCACCCAACCCGCTCGTGTTCGGCGCGTACAGTCATAAAGTTTGACTGTCGCACTGGTACAGATTGAAAAAGTTTTCCAAAAGCAGTATGTATTTGTATTTATTTTTTATTTTGTTAGGCGTGATAGTTTTAAGAATTTTCACTTACAGTCTTGTGTATATGGGATCAAGATGCAATTTACGAAGACCATGTCGGATGAATCTAGTTTATTTTGATTTCGCCCATTTTTAACTAGTTTAGTCTTATTGTTACAATACTATAACTATAGAACCTTGTTAAAGCGTCTCATGAAAAAACTAAAGAAAAATAAAGCTATTTTTTACTAGCAGTGACATCTAGCGGCGGCGTCTCAGTCTTAATCTTAGTTGTTGCATCTTATTCTGCAACGTGTATAATATATATTAGAAAGTATACATTTGTTTAAGTAAATTTATACATATATTTGATATTAATATAAAGTAAGTTTTTATTAAGGCATTTAAATTTTTACCATTGTAATAAGAATTCGCGCCCTCTGGCGGCATTCACGAAATTAAATTCAGTATGAATAAGAACAACCCCGGAAAGGTAAAACGTCTAACCTGCTAAATATTACAGGATTTAAAGTAATTTTTTTAAGAGAAAAAAATTATAACTCTAATTTTATTTGGTATATGGAAAACTGGAAGGTTTTAGCTTTTCCATATAATAAATAAAACTAGAGTATACGGCCACTGTTATTGTGCAGGCATGTTCTTTTTTTACTACGTGGCGGGACGAACAAGTCGTTCTCCTGATGGTAAGCGACACGCCCATCCATAACAGTTGAAGTGCCATCCAGAGCTTTAAATCGTAATGATCTTATGGGCACTGCCACTACGCCCGCCACCCTGAGACATACGTTGACAAGTCCCATGTGCCTGTAATTTCACCAGCACCCTTACTCTTCTAAACCGCAACGCAGTAATGCTCACATTACTGCTTGGCGGCGAAATAAATAAAGTGGCAGCACTTCCCTCTGAGCTCTAATGCTTGCAAATTTCTGTTACGACTATGCCCGCGATTAATCTGCCCGTCACTTGTTATCAAAAACACAATATATGTACATTTCAGATTCCTATCTGAATTAAACATTTCAGATGTCCAGGATTTTCACTAAGGGCGCATGTCCACGCTAAGAAAAGTCACCGGGTCTATGCAGGAATTCGTGTCATTTCTACACACGAACTGTGTACACTGCCTCGGCGCCGGACAAGAAAAAAAATCTTGTCTACCCCGACTCGACACGCTCTGCCGCTATTGTATGGGGCGTATTGTCAGTAAACGAACATTTATGCTCGTGGGCTGGTGTTACAAAATACCACTGTTGCACCACTAATTCTATTGCGACTAATAAAATGCATGATTGACTTATAAGTTTGGTAGAACGACCCATATTGTAGGACAAAACCTTAGAGATTTATAAAGATAAGCGACGTACTTTTGAGGCATAGCGAGAAATATTTATTATTCTTAAGGAAGATTTTCAAGAAATGACAAATACAGAAAAAAATGAATATGGTAAATACAAACATTGATTTTAAGTATACTTTTCTTAAAAATATTATTAGGTTGATACATATATATATTTATCTTGCCATAGTAATGCACCTATATCGGAGGAAAAATAATTAATAGCCTCGTTAATGCACTGACACGTTTACCCCACACATGTCTGTCCGAAAGCATTCGTATCGTGCACATACTGACCATTTTCTTGTCCGCGACAGACACGATATATTTTTGTGGCTAGATCCGACAAAGTTCTTGTAGTGTACAAGACCATTTTCATCTTTTCTGTAGCAGACTCGTCAAATTTCTTAGCGTGTACACGCGCCGTAAGGGTTTGCCACGGGTTTGCCTTCCCGCCATGCTATTAAGTTCTGTCGGCTTTGATGTTAAGCCCACAGGCATCTCATGTGATTTACCCGGATATTACCGCCAGACAACTACAATAATTTCCTGGTCCCAATCTAGGGAATTTCATGTACGTAATCTGTGTGACTATCAGAGTAAACAAATGAACTCAGAGACACTACACCGAATACACCTGGAAGAAAAATGTGATTGATCTTAAGTGAAGTTTAAGGTGATAAGGTAACTTGTTCGTTGTGTGTGTGTGAGAGAGAGAGAGAGAGAGAGAGAGAGAGAGAGAGTGTGTGTGTGTGTGTGTGTGAGTGTGTGTGTTTTTTTATGTAAAGAAAAAGACAAACGAGCCACTTGATAGGAGGTAGTCATCGTCGCCCATAGACATTTGCAACAGCAATTTTAAATTACAATGCCAGGCATTGTTTGACGGTATGTATGTTTTAGGTGTTTACTGTTAAATAACGGTCTTACGAAAAATATACAATATACCTATAGATATTGTCTAAAGAATTGAAGTGTCTAAAAGTTGAGTTGAATACAGGTGGCACAGAACCGAGAGAAGTGGCAGACACTGAAGGAGACCTACACCGATATGGTTGAAAACAGCAAGAAAGATGGTCTAAAGAATGTGCTAATTTGTTACGCGATAGGATGTACTTTACCGGATCATACAAAAGTCTAAAACTAATCATTTAAAAATAAAATATCTAATTTTGCACATAACATAATTTTGTTATGGAGACATTTCTCTTTAAATGCTACAGAGAACTTGCTAAAATTTGGTTTTCA